GTTGTAGATCAGGCACAGTTATGAGCGTGACATGAATCAGCCCATTTACAATTCTACTATGCTTGAGGAGGAGGAGGAGGAGGAGGAGGAGGAGGAGGAGGAGGAGGCAAAAACAAAAAGTTCCATTTCCAATTTAAAAGACTTCATTAAGGGGTCTAGAGATTTGATCAGGTCCAGTCAGAAAGTAGGAGTTGGCCAGCGCACTCTATGGCAAATATCTGCGCTTTGCTTCATCAAACATGACCAGTAAGTCCTATCGCATTATGCACGCTAAGAAAAGGTCGGCAATTGCTAAGTCATGTGACACTGACAGTTTGCCCACAATGTGCCCACAATATTCAACAAACGTGCACAATTGTAACCTAGAAAATAGAAACTAGTTCATTCTAGAGAATTTTATCAAACTGTGACCAAATCTTACCTTTTGCCTCTCTGTAAGATTTTTAATTTTCTTTTTTTTTAAATATAGGTGTTTTACACCCCCACTAACACAATTTAGATTATTAGGGAGCCGGGCTTCTGACGCTGCCTGCCATGACCAAGCAGAAAGACCAGGATACTCAATAAAAATTGTTCCCCACTTGGGTATCAAACTCAAGTCTCCTGTGCACCACGGCAAAGCCCCTAACCACTACACCACAGACACCGGTCTCTCTGTGAGACCCAATCTTACCCCCCCCCTCCCCCACACACACACACACACACACACACACACACACACACACACACACACACATACACACGCACACCCCTTCAAACGTATCAAAATAGAGATTAGATTAACCTTTCTACAGTGTGCACTGGGTGATAACTGCAGGTTTTGTACCTCGGTGGTCTACTGATAAGGTGTCATGGTCTAATAGTAAGGGTCTTGGATTCTCGACAATAAGGTCTTAGGTTCAAATCCCGACAGGGGTCCAAAGTTGTGTCCTTGGGATAGGCAACTTTCACGAATTTTCCTCTCTTCAACTTCACCCACAAATACCAGGTTAAAGACTACAAAAGATTTTGTCAGCCTGTCTAGTGTTTGAGCCCAGGTAACGCGTATGCAGGTTGCACTACATGCTTTTGGTAGGCCGAGACCATTTCTGAGTCGAATTTAAATAAAAAATCAAATGTCTGCTGTGACAAAAATAGTTGTTAAGCCCATAGAGCATGCAGTAAAGCGTCGGTAAACACTGTATAATTAATGCAGTTGTCTGTATTCATACACACTTTGGTAATGCCGAACAGTACAAGACAGACTCAGATGGGCTACATGGCTAGAGCTTGTGCCATCTGAAGGAAAGCTTTATAGCAACTTGAAGGCACTTTGATAGACCGCTACACTGATGGGATGCTTGGTGCTGTGCCATAATAATGTCATCATCATCATCATCATCATCATCATCATCATCATCATCATCATCATCATCATCATCATTAAACTTTAGTTTATTAAATCGGCTCAACGTTTTGCCACGTGCGCTTATTCAGGACATGTGTAATATGCAGCTTGCCCCGCATGCTTTCCAAAAGCCGAAATATTTCCGAGTCATGTTCAAAGGTCTGCTGGGAAAATGAAAATTGTTAAGCATATCATCACACCATGCTCATCACAAACACCATGGCCACACCAAAAGCACCCTCAACATTACCGCAGCCATCGCCTTAATTATTAATCATCCTCATTTGACCCTCCTCACCCCCACCCACCCCACCTCTCT